GAGTCTTCCCCAAGGCGCCTGTCACCTCTTTGCGCAGGCCGCCGCGCACGCGACGCCGTCGTCCGGGGTCGCGGTGTTCGCACTTGGTGGTTGCCAACCGTCGCAAACGCAGGACGAATCGCAGCCGCAGCGGAGGCATGTGTGGGGGCGGCGGACGGCTCCGTGTGCGTTGCCATGCAACCCTGCAGTACTTCCTGCACGAGCGAGCGAAGCACTTCGGCCTCCTCGTCCTCCTCGACGTTGGACGAGTACCTGCAGCCTGCCGTGAGCGGGCTGCCAGCCGCCGGAGTGTAGTCTATGCTTTCCGCCTGCTGCATCGGCGACCGCTTAGGGGTGACCCGCGCCGAGTGGCGTGTCGGTCCACGTCGTCGGGTGGCGGGAGACGCAGACAGCGGCAGCAGCGGCGGTGGGGGGAGTGGGTCAGGAAGCACGCGCTCACCCTCCAGCTTGTCACGCGCCACCTCCAGCCGTGACTGCCACTCCATGCGATCCACCGCCGACCTCCACCGCTCCGTCTCGCGCTCGCGCTCTGCGACGGCGGCAATCAGTCGAGTGATTTCCCCTTCCAAGCGCACCTGCGTGGCGTCACGCTTGGCAGCCGCCTTGTGCAAAGAGGCAATGGTCTCCTGCAGCACCGCCTGCTGCTGCTGCGCGGCCTCCAGCTCACGCCTACTGCGCAGCAGGAGCGCCTCCACACGCTGGTGCGACTCATCTGCCTTGTCGAAGCGCATACGCTCGCGTGTCAGGTCCCCGCGCAGGGACTCAATAGTCACCTCAAGCTGTTGCTTCTGCTGTAGCCACAGTTCACGCGTGCGCTGCGCCTCCTGCTGGGATTCTCTCTGGCAACGTGCCATCTCGCTCTCTAGTCGCTCACGCTCACGCGTGTGCTGGTCACAAAGGCGCTGCATCTCTTGCACCTGAGCCTTGTAACTATTCTCTGCTTGTTCCAGTCGCTGGCGATGCGTCTGCCGCTCCAGTGCCATGTACTCCCCCAACTGCGCCTTCTCCTTCTGTTCCACTTGAAGTGCGTCCTGAATGCGTTGTGTCATACCTTCCTGCCGCCGCAGGGAACACTGCAGGTCTTCCATCCGCAGCATAAGCGCCTCATTCGTCTCTTGCTGGCGTCTTGCTTCAGCAGCCGCATCGGCAAGGCGCCCCTCAAGCTGCGAGCTGCCCCGTTGCAACTCCATCTCACGCAGTCGCACCAGCTCCTCCCGCTCCCGCATCCCCGCCTGAGCCTTCTTCTCTGCCTCCCTGCGAACATCATCGAGTCGACACTTCCACATCTCCTCAACCGCCGCGTCCTGCAGCTGCTGCTCCTGCAGCTGCGAGCGCAGCGCTCGTGTCTGCCGCCACTGCGTCTCCCGCTCACTTGCTAGGGCGTCGCGTTCCTCCACAGCAGCCGCAAGCTCCTGGCGCAGCTGCCGCGTGCGACGCTCCCACACACTGTCTTCCTCCTTGATCCTCGCCTCCTGCAGGGCGTTCTTGGCCTTGGCGGCGACGAGTTCCTGACGCTGCGTCTCGTGTCGTGTCTGGAGCGTCTCAAGCTCCAGCTTCGCCTGCGCCGCGTTGCGCTGCTCCACCTCGTAGTCCCGGCAGAGCCGCTCAAACAACGCGCGGAACTGCTGCAGCGCGCTCTCCTTCCGCGCGACCTCGTCGAGGAGCTCGCAAAGGCGCTGCGTAGACGCTTCGGCAGCTGTTGCAGCCTCCGGCGCCGGCGGCGTGGCCATTTTTTTTTCTTGTTGTTTTGCCTGCGCGTGCGAGACCCCCTGCGGGGGTCGGGAAGACAAAACAAAAAAAAAAGGTTGGGGAGGAGGGCGGAGCTGCCTGCCTGCTTGCCTTCCTCGACGCCCGCCACACGCATGAGAGGAGTGGGACGGAGGAAAAACAAAACACACACACACACAAAAAAAAAAAAAACGCAAAGTGCGATGGCACGACGCCCCCCAAACCAGCAGCCACCGCCACAAAACAAACACGGCATCTGCAAACGACAGAACGGCACGCACGCACCAACACACACGCAGAAACAATAATGAGCGAAGGGGCTGAACTGCAGTTTGTCGCAGGCCGTGGGGCCCTGCGGAGTCCGCCGCAAGAGACAGAAAGACAAGAAAACAGAAATAAAATAAAAATCCACAAACGGAGGGGGACACACAGACAAAGAGAAAAAGTAGACATTGTCCAAGGATCCACACTTTTTCGACCAACTCCCTTTTTACTTTTTTAATTTTTTTTTTACTTTGTGGTCTGCCTCTTCCCTCCTTTTGTCGTTGCCTTTCTATTGCTTTGTCGCTGTTTTGTTGCTCTCTTCTCCCTTTGCTCCCGCTGCCACTTCTCAAACTCAGTTTTGTTTTTTGTATGCGCCGATTATGCACGCATGCATGGCTGTGTGTATATATGTGTTTATGTTCGTATGTGTCACTCCTTTGCCTTGCCACTGCACGCCCACATCTCTTCACGGTCTATGCATTCCCTCCCCTCGCATTCTCACTGCCGCCTCTACCTGCTCCTGCTGACTCTCCAGGTACCGACGGAGCATGTTTAGCTCGCAGTATAAGCGGTCAAGCTGCACGGTGTGTCGGCTCCTTCCTTCGTCCGCCGTCACTCCAACACTACCACCGCCAGTGTCGCCGTACTCTGCGGGCTTGGGCATCCCGGTGTCAGCCGTCGAGGACAATGGAATGCCCAACGCGGACGCAAAATTCTCCAAGTGGTTCATCGACTTTGTCAGGCATAACGTTGCCTGCTCCCAGCGGGCCTCAATGTTTCGCCGCACTGCGGCGTCCGCCATGAGCCACTGGTCGGCTAAGCTGCAGCCGTAAACGCTGCCACCACTGCCGGCGCTGGCCCCTCCCACCGCTGAGCTCGTCGGCTGAGGCAGCTGCCCTCCCATTCCCCCGGCGACTGTGGAGTAGTGTTGGGGTGGCTCGTAGCTGGGGGATCGCGATGGAATGTTCAGTAGTTGCCTTGCCTGTTTCAGGTAATACGACGTCACATGCGGAAGGGCGAAAAGAACGTCATCCAGCCGTCGTGCCTCGGACAGAGCGAGTTTCTCAAGGTACAACACCGCGCGATCTAGTCGTCGTGTCTCTAGGTAGTGCGACCCAAGCCGGTGTACAAGCGGTGGGTAGTAGTCAGAGGAGGAACTCTCGTACGCCTCCGCACGCTCGAGGCACAGCACCGCCTCTTCCGTGCGTCCCTCGCGGTCAAGGCAGTTTGCCACCGCCGACCACATTCGCGGATCCGTGGGCCGCAGCGTTGTTGTGTGCCAGTAGTAATACAGCGCGTGGTGATAAAACTGCAGCAGCTCGTAAATCTGACCGAGGTTGTACCAGCCACGGTAGTCGCGTGGGTCGAGCTCCACCGCGGTGCGGTACGCCTCCACAGCGGCTGCACTGTTTTTCGTCTCCAGGTAGGCGTGGCCGAGCAGCGTCCAGGCGGCAAGGAATGTGGGGTCTGCTGCCACTGCTCGACGAAAGTGCAGCACACCGCGATCGTGTGCGCCCATCAGAACATAGTAGTTGCCAACCACGTAGTTGCTTTCGGCGCGGAAAGGGTCAATTTGGTAAACCTGCTGCGCGAGACTACTCAGCCCGATACGGTCACCGCGTAGAAAAAGTACAATAGAGTAGTCATCCATGGATTCGAGCCGATACGGGTTCAACTCATGTAATCGTTTGTACAGGTTCTGGGCTTTTTCAAGGTCCTTCTTGACGTTGTAGTAGTATCCGGCAAGGTTGGAGAGAAGAAAAAGATTGCCGGGAAACCGCTCTAGTAGCGCCTCCCAGGAGTTTACCAGCCGCGGTGAAAGATACCCCTCCCCACGTCGCTGCTGCTGCTGCTGCTGCTGCTGCTGCTGCTGCTGCTGCTGTGAGTCCCGCGCCAACGTCGGCTGACGGGGCAAGCTGCCGCCATGTGGGCTTGTGCTTCGCCGCGCCATGGCAGCGGTCGCCGCACTTAACAAGGACGATGGAACGAGAGAGACGGGGGCAACGTTCAGCGCGGCCTTCACAGTGGCCAAGAATATTTCTGGCATAAACTGTGGCTCCAGCGCAGCAATCATTGCCTCAATTTCCTCAATCTGGTTTTCGCGGCTGACAAGCGTGCAGAGATCCTCCCAGGCGCACCAGAGCATCGGGTGGTTGCAGAGGGCAGCCAAAAAGTAGGTGGCACTCTCTTGCTTCATCCCGAGCTCGCGCAGCACGACACCGTGCAGCCAGCACAAGAAGGGGTCCCCGTACGCCGAGGCACCCCCCGCTGCACCCACCCCCATCGATGTCGACGGTCGAGGCATGGGCAGCACGGAGGGCCTTACGGACGCCCCCGGCGGCAACGAGGAACGCCGCTGCTGCTCAAGCACGGCGAGCAGGCGTCCGCGTAGCGTACGAAGGTGTGGGTTGCTGCTCTTCCGTGGGTTTCTACTGGTGCTTTTAATGCACTCCCCGCCCATGTACAGGGAATACAGGCACAAAAACTGCAGCTGCGGCGGTGGCGGTGGTAGTAGCGCTTGTGCTGCTGGGGAAGAGAAAGTTGGTGGCGGCGGTGTGGATCGTCCGCCCCCGCGCTGTGGTAGTGGGCAGTCCCTCGCACCCGGCTCAGCCTCCTCAAGCGTCGCGTCTGCAGCGAACTCCTTTAGCGCGGTGTTGAGTTCATGGTGGCAGCGTAGATACTCGCCTTTATGCATCAGGCTCAGCGCCAGGACAAGGTGGCGGTGTGCACGGCCTGTGAGCGGCGGATCCTGCAACGCCGTGACAACCGGGGCGGTAGCCGAAATTATCTGGCGCAAAACGCTGTCAGTGGCGTTGAGTGAAAGTTGCCCGAGCCACGACGCGCTGTCAAACAGCCCACGTTGCATACATTGGTCCATCGCGCGGTCCAGTACCTCGGCCGTTGTAAGGAAACCGTGCCCGGTGGCACTGCCACTGCCACCGCTGCTGCCGACAGACTCCTGTCGATGCATTGTTGTTGCCTTCTCCTCTAAATGGTTTCTTGTTTTATTGTTTTGTTGTTGTGAGTGAGTGGGAGTCTTCTCCCCTGGCCTCCCTGCTTTCGTCTGCGCCTACCACGCTACCCGCAGCCCCAGCCTTCTTACGGCCCTGTCAGGACGTCCTTGTGCGTGCGTGCGTGCGTGTGTACGTGCACGACCGGGTTGGTGTGCTGTTGAACACACACAGCCACCTTCAGATGAACGTGGGCAGCTACCGCAGCGGGGCGGACGCGGGGAACAGAGCGGCGAAGGTGTCGCTGTTGCTACAAAAAAAGCCGTGGGCAGAAAGAGCGGAACGGACGGGCGGGGGGAGAAAAAGGCAAGCGCCACAGCTCCAGCATGGCGAAGGCAAAGGTGCACAGGGCAGACAGAAGGGGAGGGAGGGAGGACGCAACCTCCACACGCTGCGGCATCCAAAGTTACGCGTAGTGGCTCAGCTCATACACTATACCAAAAAGACTCACGCCAATTATTATACACAACTCTCCTCCATCGCACGCGCTCGCACACACACTTTTTCTTTTTTTCTTTTTTATTTTTTATTTTCGTTATTGTTTTTTCTCCTTTTCCCTCACGTTTGCGCAAACCAACAGTGCGGCCAGACGCCAGAGGCCCTGTCTCGCCTGTACCTCCCACTTTTTCTTTTGAGGGGGGAGGGGTTGCCTCCTTGGAGGCACCTATGCCCGCATTTTACTTCTTTTTCCACTGCTCCTCCACCACGCAGTCCTTCGGATTCAGGCCAGTGCCACAGATGCCCTGCGGCACTCCGTCTAAACGTGCCTCTTCAGACGCAGCAGCGCGGGGGGGCGCTCTTGCTGCCGCTGTTGATGTTGCAGCGGCAGCGGTCTTGTCATCATGCTGCAGCCCTTCCTCTGCCGCCACGGCACTCTTTTCCGTGTCATACGGGGCGATGCCGAGCCACTGCAGGATCGTTGGGGCGGCGTCCATGTGGGTCACTGACCGCGTCAGCGGCCGCAGGCGTCGGTAGCCGCGGGTGTTTGTTGTGTAGGTGGCCACAAAAAAAGGCACGAGTTCGTCCTCGTCGCCGAAGTGCCCAAACGACTTCCCGACACCGCCGTGGTTGCTCGTGCCAACCACAAGCCAGTTTTCCTTTCTGAAGCGGGCGCGGTGCTGGACGAGGGCAAGCACCTGTCCGATGAGGCTGTCTATGAGGAAGGCCTGTGCTGCATACTCCAGCGACTCCGGTTCGTAGGTGAAGTCCGGCAAAGCGGCGTCCCCCGAGCGCAGGGCGAGTGCGTTAAAGTTGAATATGAGGAGACTGTCATCAAAGCTGTCGCCAGCCTGCTGCCCCTCGCCGGAGAGACTGCCAAAGAGTTGCGTGAGGTGCTCCGTAAACTGGCGTTCCTCGCTGCCGCCACGGCCGCTAGCCAGCGTCAGCACCCGCCTGAATAAGTTGCAGGACCTCTGGTGCAAGCAACTCATCTCGGGTGGGGTGTCACCAGCGTTCGCCGAAGCAGCAACGGCAGGCTGGCCTGTAGAGCCCGCAGCGGCCTCCGCAGGAGCGGCTGAGCCAGGCGGGCTGGCGCACTCTGCGTCCAGCAGGCCTGGCACACTGCACTGCCCCGTGCTCGCGTTCAACCCATTGAGTAGACGGTGGCCGCCGACCGCCGTTGCCCTCCTCCCAGCGCGGGTCACACGGAGAGCAACGCTTGGAAACTGCAGGGATGTCGAGGCGAAGACGGCGTACGACGCCTGTGAGTCGGTCGCCACCCCGTGGCGTCGCGGGAAGACGCCCGTGAGAATACTTGCGAGTCCGGCACCGGCGGAGACGAACGGCTTGCCTGTCACCGCATCAACGGCAGGGGCTGCACGGGCACATCGTGCGTCCCCTAGTGTGGCGCACACCGCATACACGCCGTGCTGCTCCACCAACATCCGTCGAATGTGTGGTAGCCGCTGCCCCTCGAGCAGCTTGTTGAATGTCTGTCCTTTGAACCCCTCAACGATGAACAACACGGCGCGCGGCACCCCCTTCACCTCCCGCGCCCTCCCGCTTGTCACCCCAACACTCAGCAGGACGCCCACAAGCAGCGCCACCACTAGCAAGGGTAGGAACACAACAGTGCAGCAGCGCCCAGCCCGAACCACGTCTGCGTCCGCGTCCTGCTCGTCCACAATCTCCTGCACCGTCTTTTGTTTCTTTGGCATGGTTTCCTTCGCGCCGGTTAACCCAAGAACCAGGTCGGCGGCAGAGAAGGGACGCGAGCGGTCGTTATTCGACGCCACATCGCTCTCCTCCAGCTGCTCCTTCTCCAACCGCATTGTGGGCCCCATGCTTGCCGCTGTTACCTTGTCCGTAATGACACTCCTTGAGGTGGAAGGAGCCGCCGAAAAAAAAAACAAGGGGAAGGGAGCAAGCCAAAAAAAAAAAGTGACAAAAGATAAATTTAAAGAAAAAAAAATGTGTGTTCCCGCAGCTGCGGATGCTACTTCAGCCCTATATATATATGGGGTTATGTTTATGCCTGCACACACGCTATGGTGGCCTTCCCTCCCTAGTAACGCCTCTAAACGTGCCTTGGGAGCGCCCGTGGGCGAAATATGCAAGGAAAAAAGCAAAAAGTTAAAAAATACTGCACGGCACATTCGCTTCACTGTGAGTGTTTTCTGCCTCACTGTAAGGAAAGCTGGGGGTGGGGGATGCTGGGTTGCTCCTGCCCACGTGCAGGCACACGCAAGCCGCGGAGGCCCCAGTCGAGCAAACCAGAGGAGCACAAGTAGACAGAGAGAACGGCAAGATGGCTGGGTGGCGGGGAGGGAGGGGAACTTCTGTCACTGCCGTTTTTTTTTTCCTTGCGTAGAGGGAAAGGAAGAGCCAGGCCTTTGCCCACCCACCCCCCACCCCCACCCGCCGCAGCGACGGCCCAGTCATGTTTCGCTCTCTCAGCGCAGGCAGAACCGCACGTACACACTTATCTACCAGCGTACATGCGCTGCAAATTCAAAAAAAAAATGGGAGACTTACAAGTAAAATTAACTACGTGTATTTTTTTTTATAAAAAAAAACATTTGTGCAAATGTGGAGGCCTGCAGATTTCTCTCACCATTACTATCACTCTCTGTGTGTTTGTTGCTGTCGGGCTTTGCAGCATTTTCCCACACCACCCACTGAAAAACGTGTGGATTGCCACACAGGCAGCAGGGCACCATTTCACGCAGCCGCGGAAATCCCCCGGTCACCACACGCATGTTGGCACGGCATCGCAGACACAGACATCCATGCAATCCGTGGAGCTTTGGAGCACGGAGATACAGATGGAAAGAGCGGGAAGGAGAGTTTGCGCACGTATGTGGGTTTGTGTGAGACAAAAGATCCCAGCTCTATTTGAAAGCCGAACGCAGGAAGGAGGTACTGCCATGCTTATACCTTCTTTGCAAGCTCCCCCGTGTGCTGCATCTCCAGCAGCGCCTTCTGCAGCTCGCCCAGCTGCACCGTCAGGGCACGCACGCCGAAAAGGAATGCCTCCACGCTATGTATATCTTGGTTAGACAGCACAAACTCCCTTCGCTTATGGTCAAAAAAGGTAATATTTTGAAGCATCTGTGAACCGTGCTCGGACGGCTCTGTTGAGGAGCCGTCGCCAGACATACTGCTCGGCGACCTGACCCAAGGAGGAGCCGCGCTCCATCGTATTTTCAAACCCCACCTCCGGTGTGGTGGGGTGGTCCGTCAACAATCTCCGCTTGTCGACCCGGTCCTCCGTCTTCTCGAGAGACCGTGACTGCTGCAGCGGCCTGTCCTCCGTTCCTTCTTGGCTACGCCTGTCATTTATCCCCTTATCCACGCTACTGTGATCCTTCTCATTCAGCCTGCTCATAAAACTCGCCCTTTTTGTGACGGTGGCGTTGAGGTCTACCTCCTGCGTCGAAGGATCCAGCTCACCGTGCCGCTTCTTACTCCGCTTCTTAGCGCGTTCCTCGCCCTCCACGGAGGACGTGCTGGACGCCTGATCCCCAGCCCGTGTGGTTTTGGAAAATACGCCGAAAAAGGACCGGTTCCCGACAAAGCTGTCTTTTATGGAGTTCTTCTTGTCCTTCTTGGCGGTATCCTCTAGATTATCTTCCACCATGCCCCTCTGCCGGATGCTCTCTGACCTGTTCACGAGGTACTGCTTCAACACCTCCTCCTCCTCCTTGGTAAGGTTGTACATAAGGTAGCCGCCCTTCTTCTTCTTTTGACGCTCCTGTGGTGCGGAACCAGCAAGCGGCGTGGGGCCTGTGCTTCCTGCGGTCCTCTTGTTTCCGCCTCGGCACGGTGCCGACAGACCCCCCTCATTGCGGCTAATGTTGCTGCTGATGCTCATCTTGCTAAAGGCGCCCCCCTCCGTCGCTGCATCCGTTTCCTTCTCCTCGTCAGAAACGTCGCCGCCGAGGTTGCGGCAAATGGTCTGAATGTACACCTCCGTGATGTTCGCCTCCGCCTCCAGTATCCCGTGTCGCAGTCGCGTGAGGTGGCTGGTCGGCACAACGGTGGTCTTGCCGATTGCAAGGAGGTAGAGATCCACGGTGGCGTACACCAAGTCGGAGAGATCCTTGGCGTGGGGGGAGATGCGCCGCAGCAGGACCCAGTGCACAGACAGCTCGGTGAGGTTGTCAGCCTCGCTGGACATGAAGGTGAAGTACGCAAAACACATCATGGAGAGAATGGACCAGAGATTCCACTGCACGTCAATAAGCCTCTGCCACGCGATGTCAGGGAAGTCAGCCCCAACCAGCGTCGGTTCCGTGCAGGCCCCACGCAGGAAGGTGGCCTGGCGTGTGATCTTCCTGTTCCATTCAGTTAACACATCCGTAACGGCGGTGTTCACCTCACACACGTCCTCGGGCTGGTCGAGGTTGCGCAGCAAGCGGCATGTCGCCTCACGGAAGCAGCGCAGGCTGGCGTCAAAGGCCATTTGCACCTTCCCCCGCGCCCGCATGGGCCAAAAAACCATCGAAATACAAAAATAGATAAGAATGGCAAACACGTTCTGCTGAATACGCACCATGGCGGCATCCGGGTTTGTGTACTGCGTAATAACAGAGATGACGCTGTTGCAGATGGCGTTACCCGCTGCAAAGTACTCCGTGCTCGTCTGAATGTAGGCCCCGAGAAAGGAGAGGATGGCCACGACGACGTACAGCACAAGCAGACGGGAGTTGGCAAGCTGGACACCCAACAACGCGGTAAGAGAGCCCAGCACGGTCCCAAGCACTCGATTGACGGCATAGGTGAAGCTCTGCGCCCCTGTCTGACTGTACACAAGGGCGATAATCGCCGCCCCCGCCACAGGGCTCGCATCGTTGTTTTTCAGCGCATACACCTGAAAGATGCAGGGCACCGTCATACATAGTGCCAGCTTAATCGCCTCCTTCGCCCGCCGCGTCAGGGAGCGTCGGTGAATCATCGTGGAGATGAGAAGCCGCATGGCGTTAAAGGAACTTTTGCAGTCATATATGGGTGTCTTGAGCCAATCCACGAAGTTGCTGTGCACTGACTTCCGCGGGGAGAAGTTAGAGATTACCTCACAGAGCTCGTCCACGCTAAACATAAAAAACCCAAGCAGCACGTCGGACTCGTCCGGCTCGTACATCTCGTTATCGAGGATGACATCCTGCCGCACCTCGGACAGGCGGTCCTGAAAGCGTTCCCGCGCCTCGCGAAACATATGGATGTCCTCTTCCCGCACGGGGTGTTTAAAGTCAGCGATCTTCAGGATCATGTTATCCATTGCGGAGGAGATGACGGCGAGATCCTCGGCGATGGCGGTGCCGAAGGAAAGACAGAGCTGGGTGTCAATACGCTGCGGGTTGTCGTTGATGAGCTCCACCACCTGCACCATGGAACTAAGGATGTTGTAGATGTTCACAAAAAACTCGTGTCTCACGCTGATGGCCGCCATAAAGGCGCCCGTGTGTGGCTCGTAGGTTGCCTCCTCGTAGTACATGGCGGCCTTCGCAATGGCCCTCTTCGCCGTGGCACCCAGCTGCCGCAGTCGCACAATGTGCAGTTCGCGCTCCAGCGGGGAGCGCGTCCAGAAGCTGGAGCACGTCCCCTGTACATAGATGCTGAGGGAGTTCCCGAGAATGGAAACGTACAGCTTGGAGAGATCGCTCGACCAGCGAATGTTCGGAATAAAGAACGCGGCAAGACCGAAGGCGAGGGCGATGAGCAGCGTGGTGAAGTAGTCTCCCACAAACTTAATCCCCGTACCCGCCGGATCCGACTGCAGCTGCAACAGAAATACCACGAGACAGTATGCTGAGGTCTTTTTCACCTGCTCTGCGAAGAAGGAGGTGACGAGCACAAACACGAAGAGCATCAGGATAATCAGCCAACTCGCACGCGGGTTAATTAAAATGACAAACAGAAGTAGGATAAGACTCAAGGCATACCCCTTCAACGCAATGACAAACTCCCGCAGCCCAGCACCAAAGGTTGGCATGGTGATCCAGAAGGCGAGGAAGGCCACAGTGGAGGGCAGCGGAAAGATGTCCTTTGTATCCGGCTCCAGCGTGAGAATCATCGTTGGCAGCACCGTCAAGAGGGAGGCGCGGACGGTCCAATCCAACTTTTCCCAGAAAAGGGGTGCGGAAAAGATGCTACAGGTTTTGGTGCCAAACCCACTCATTGGAATATACGCCCGCTGGTCCCACGGGATGGCATGCAGGGCGGGGCTGGTCGCCTCCTTAAAGTGCCGTTCCTCACGTTCATCCTCATCGCCCCGAAGAATTTTTTCGTTTTTGTCACTATCTCCACCACCTCCTCCACCACCACCGCCTCCACCACCACCGCCTCCACCACCACCACCACCTCCACCACCACCACC